TTCGTTCCGTGGCTTAGTTGGTATAGCGTCTGGCACGGTATGCAAGAAGACGTCGGTTCGAATCCGACCGAATCGAAGGATTTTTTTCTGAGCGTTTTTTCTGAGTGTTCGATCTTTGTATTGATAATTATATCGAAGCGTAATGTTCACAACTAGGGTAGTTGTGAAAATCCAGAGGATTGCATCGAAATTTGTAATACATTGTAATTGTACCAAATCCCATATTCACCGTTTTTGCCCACAACTTTGGGCAGAAATGAGTTAAAACCCGACGCTTTGGGAAATAACCCGGCTAAAACCCGAGTGAGTTAATTGAGTTTTCATCCACTGCCCATCTCTGGTCACATGCGATAAGTCCATCAACTTTATGTTTCCGGGTGACGGGTCCAGTGGCACTGTGACTGCTAAGACTGTGTCGTTTACCATCAGATACACGACTTGTTCATCCCGTCATTTTGTAACATAAAAAAGAAGAATAACCGCTCACGCGATACATGCAGCCGTAGACGCGTACCACACCTAGAAGTGCCGGTGATGATTTTATACCGATTTATCGTATTCCAAAGTTATAACAGGTAAAAGAACTAACATTAATTGCTATTTCGGTAACTACTCTAGCAAAACATTGAAGTGAAACACACGCAAGTTGGTTGAACACTGATTTATTTCAATCACACAGTGCGGGACTACCCTCGCATAATATGTTACATGTTTCCCTTTTGAAAAGTTATAAATTTAATATTAACTAAGATAAATACCTTTAATGGTTAGATACAGTTATCTTTTCATCATGAACAATTTAAGACACTTTATATAACAAAAATAATAAATAAACTTATATACTGAAATTTTAGTTAACTTACCAATTCATAAATATGAGTTATTTATGCTTATATTGTTTTGCCATAGTAATGTAACACATTATTATACTTTATCACACCTATCAATAACTCACGGAGTAAATAAACTATTTTACACCTATTATTATTGAAAGATAAAAAAAAAAGTAAATTACACAATTTGATCATTTTTTTAACCTCACATTTCGGGTTTAACTACTCTTTACTTGACCTAACTAATAAATCACTTAACATACGTGCAGTTCGTTCTCTAGACCTGGTAATTGAAACTACTGGTGACGATGAGGGAGACGCTTCCGACAGACTTTCAAACGAGCACCCTTCCTCGTACTCTGTGGCCCCTGGCCGGAGTATCGCATACCCACCCCGCGGCGATGAGCTCGCGCTCTCAGATTGCGAGTCGGACACCCGCTGCTCCTCAGACACCGCTCTCGGTCTGCGTCTACGCACTCCTGTCGGCCAAACCGTACCAAGCTTACTTGAACACGCTGTAGTAAGTGCCTGGGGTCGCTCAGCAGGCCATGCAGACGCTGTCCGCGCCACCAAGTGACCGCGAGTACGTCTATATCGGACGCCGGTATCGTCCTCCACTATATATGAGCGCGGTTCTGGCGCAGGAGCAACCACCGAAACAGGTTTTCTGGAGCCGTTACATACCAATGTTGCTTTGTCACCCGGAAACAAACACCTGAGCGGTTTCGCTGACGCATCGTAATGACGTTTAATTTTCTCCTTATCTAACATCAATCCTCGATAATTGCGTTCATTATCAACACTTTCAGTGAGCAATTTCGGATTGATCGGGAGTTTTGTATTTAATCGCCTACCCATTAATATTTGAGCGGGTGAATCTAACCCGTTACGTGGCGTAGCCCTGAAATTTAACAATGCCATTAAAAAATCCTGTCCAGAATCCACACATTTTTTAAATAAATTTTTTACTGTTTGGACTGCTCTCTCGCTCTTTCCGTTTGATTGCGGGTAATGCGGGGATGATGTGACGTGAGTTACTTCCCATTCGAGCAAAAATTTCTTAAATTCCTGTGAGCTATAAGCGGGGCCATTGTCGGTCACTAGCTCCACCGGTATACCGTGTCTCGCGAATTGTTCCCGCATGAAATCGATCACTCGCCTGGAAGTCATACTGGACAGCTCCCCTACCTCCACGTAATTAGAAAAATAGTCGACCAAGATGATGTACTTTTTCTTTCTGTATTCGAATATGTCGGAGGCGAGCTTATGCCAGGGCAGCGGCGGCACTTCGTGCTGCAGCAGCGGCTGGCGGCGCGCGCGCGGCGCGTGCAGCGCGCACGCCGCGCACCCGCGCACCGCGCGCTCCACGGCCGCGCCCAGCCCCGGCCAGAACATGACGTCACGCGCGCGCCGCTTGCACCGCTCGATGCCCAGGTGGCCCTCGTGAACGCGCGACACCATGCTGTCCCTCAACGCGCGAGGGATAAATACACACTCACCCTTCAATAAAATACCATCCACATAATGCAATTCATCACGATAAGGCCAAAATACGTTGACTTCGGGCTTTACGTCACGTCTATTCTTAGGCCAGCCTTTTGTAATGTACTCGATTAGCGACTTGCAATCTGCGTCGGTCTCAGTCTCCTTTCTTACTGCCTCCATTTTTTGATTGCTAAACGGTAAGTTCTCTAACATAAAACACGTTTGTGCTTCCACTTCGTTCGTTACCCAGTCGTGCATCGACTCCTTCACAGGGGCCCGCGACAAAGTGTCCGCAATATACATATACTTTCCGGGAGTATATACGACCTTAATGTCGAATCCTTGGACTCTCATCATCATTCTCTGTAGTCGCGCCGGCACGGAAACTAAGGATTTCTTAAAGAGAGCCTCCAGAGGTTTATGGTCCGATTGAACGGTTACATCACTCCGGCCCAGGATGTACTGCCTGAACCGCTCAACGGCGAACACAATGGCCAGCATCTCCTTCTCGATCTGGGCATACCTGGTCTGCGTGTCGCTGAGTGTTAGCGAGGCGAACTCGAGCGGTCGGCCGGCCTGCAGCAGCACGGCGCCCAGCGCCACGCTGGACGCGTCCACTGACAGCACGAGCGGCGTGCGCTCGCAGTACAGCGCCAGCACAGGCGCGCTCGCCAGCGCGCGCTTCAGCTCGTCCACCGCTGCGGAGTGGTGTGGTTCCCACACCCACTCTGACTCCTTCTTTAGCAGCGAACGTAGACACCTCACACGTTCTGAATAATTTTGAATGAACTTCGACAGATAATTGACCATACCCAAAAACCTCTCGAGCGATTTTCGGTCGCTCGGGTATGGCATCTCCATGATGGCCTTTACCTTCGAGTCGTCGGCTCGCATACCTGTCGCATCAAACTTATGTCCTAAATATGTGATTTCCGGCACTGCAAATTTACATTTCTCACGATTGAATTTAATGCCTATTTGTCGCGCCCGCTCCAGTAAACAACCTAACCTTTTATCATGCTCGTCCTTAGTACGTCCCCACACAATGACGTCATCGATAAAGGACTCGACGCCCTCGAGATCTTCGAGATGCTGTCTGAGTCTGGCATGAAACACTTCTGGCGCACAATTTATCCCATAAGGCAACCGCAGAAACTGATACCGCCCGAACGGCGTACTGAAGGTACAGAGGTCTGCGCTCGCATCGTCAATTTTCACCATCCAGAAGCCACAGCGCGCGTCGAGCACGCTGAACACGGCGGCGCCGCGCAGCCGCACCGCCAGCTCCGGCACCGTCGGCAGCGAGTACTGCGCGCGCCGCACCGCGCGGTTCAGTGGCCGAGGATCTAAGCAGACACGAATGCTGCCATCTTTCTTTGGAACCAATACGATAGCGTTTACCCAGTCAGTCGGATGCGTGACCTTCCTCACTACACCTAGCGTTTCCATCCTACGTAATTCTTGTAATAGCTTATCTTTAAGACCGAAAGAAATTTTCCTAGTCGGGCACACGACTGGCTGCACTGTCTTATCTACAGATATACTATATTCACCGGGTAATTTGCCTAACCCTTTAAACAAATCATCATACTGACCAACATTTATTGTATCGACATAAGTGACTAATCCTAATGCGACACAGCCTTTGAAACCGAGTACATTCTGACATTTAAAGTTCGCGACAACAAAAGGTAGCTCATATTGTTTACAATTATACGTGAATAAAATCTTATCAGAGCCCAATATCGGCAACCGGTTCCCTGTGAAAGAAAGTACTCGCTTTGCATACGGCTTAAGTTTCATAACAGACAAGCCCAAGTTGATATAATCTTTTTTAGAAATAACATTAAGCATTGCTCCCGTATCTATTTTTAGCATAATGTTTTTACCATTACAAGAAACTGTCTCATGCCATTCATTATGTGACTTACTGTTTACATTGTCCTTATTGATGCCGTTGATGTAAAACAGCTCTTCCGAGTCTTCGTCGTAGTCAATGGCCGCACTATCAACGTTTAAATTTAGCACTTTACTAATTTCTTTCTTTCGCTCACACACGCGCGAAAAATGACCTTTACTATCGCACACATAGCACATCGCGTTCCGCGCCGGGCACCGGTCGCCGCCGGCGCAGCGAACGCTCCCGCAGGTGAGGCAGGGGGCGCCGGCGCCGCCGCCCGCAGCCCGAGCCGCGCCACGCCAGCCGCCACCGCCGCGCCTGCTGCGCTCTCGGCGCGCGCCTCGCACTCCGCCACTTCTGCGCATCGCGTTCACCTGCATGTTCTCAGCTGATGCGCTGCTGATACACTGGCCTTCCTCTTTTGATATCTCTGCCGCCTGACAGATTTGTATCGCCTTGATTAGCGTTAGATCATCCGTGCGAAGTAATCTATCTCTCACTGTGTTGTTATTGATGCCGCAGACGATTTTATCACGCAGCAAACTCTCGTTCAATTCCCCGAATTCACACTGCTGGCTCAATAATCGCAACGCCGTCACATACTGGTCTATGTTTTCTGCATCTTCTTGCCCGCGCGTAAAGAATTTATAACGGCGGACAGTGATGTTAGGTTTTGCACCGAAATATGCATCGAACTTCTTCATAACACATGTGACATCATCTTCACTTTCGCACTTATCAAAAGTAAAAGTCGTAAATACTTCGTATCCCGCCGATCCGATGAGGTTCACCAACAAACTAGCCTGTACCTCTTTAGGCTCTTTGCTCACTCCGGAGGCCTTTAGAAACACCTCAAACAGCCTCCGCCATTTGCGCCACGCGTCGGATCGCGCGGCCGGGCCGCCTTCCAATACCAATTCCGCCGGAGGACGCGCGTGTTCCATGATTTTTACGATAAATACACACTCACTCTCACTAATGCACGTGTACAACGTAAATAAAGTAAATAATTATGGGTTCGGACACTTATTACCCCTAAAAGAAGTCTCACCGCTGTCACCATGAAGTGAAACACACGCAAGTTGGTTGAACACTGATTTATTTCAATCACACAGTGCGGGACTACCCTCGCATAATATGTTACAAACATAAAGTTTTTAATGCCTGGGTCTGTCATTTAAAAAAATAAACAACTTCAAAAATACGTCACGACAATCGTCTGTGCTATTGTTTGGGCTGGTGATTTCGGGGTTTATTTATTGAAAACATACCGTAAGTAGCGTTTTTTAAGTTTACCCTGAGTATAAATGTTCATAAACTACACTTTAAGGAGTAATTTCATGGTAAACGTTAGAACCACTCAAACGGAATATTATCATATTTATCCAAGTACACCAAAAATGTCATTAGTGCTTTTTAAGTGCAGGATTTGCGGTGTATTACTGCATTTTATTTTAGATGTTTTTGTTGGTAGTACGGAGGGTATTTATTTAGCAATGCAGAATAATAATTTTTATTTATAAAAACTTGTATTTAAACTGAATGCTTTTCTAATTTGCGAAACCAAATAGCCGCCATTTTGCGGTAGGAGGAGCGCATCGCGTGAGCGGATATACGATGGAATTGCACGATTTAAATTCCACCACGCTATGTCTGTTCATACCACAGAACAATAAATACATTAGAATTGGTTAGTTTGCGTCTGACGCGTGCCAACTATAGGTCTCGAAAGACCTATCAGAGCTCAGTCCGCCATTTTCTCTTTGTATGGCATGGTTGTGGCATTATTTCTTGCAAATTCTATAAAATAATAGAAAAATGCATTATTGTGCTCTTTTGGAGTACAAAAATGATAGCCCCTCCAAAAATGTTACCCGTAGTGGTATTTCAAAAATCATCGGAGTCCTATTTTAATAAGTTTCCAATTTTCTGTTTATCAATTCATGATTCATGAAACGAAAGTAAAGCTTATTTATACCCCTGCAATATGGTCGCTTCTTGTTTGGAGAACTAAATTAATAACTCCAATCCGTCGTCGTTCAGCAATTAACCGCTAGATGGCAGCACATTGCTTGAAATTTCGATGTAATATCAAAACGTCGTAACTTGCAATAATAAGTATTGATGGTATTGAACTTTCGACGATATTCCAACAGGTTAAAGTTTAAATTATATTAACAATCCAGAATTAAACATATTTTCTTTTTGAATTTGAAACTACGACCAATCAATATATCAAGGTTTTGTAGTGTTTCAAATTAAAAATATGTGAGTTTTGGCCACATCGGTTCTCATAGTAATCGAGGCTTAGGGCACTTCCTTTGTTTTTTTTCTTCCGTGGTTCATCCCCTTGCTAACTAAATTTAATGTACGACCACGTAATCACCATCTGCTGGCAGCGCCAGCGGCGTACGCTGTGTCTAACAGTAAATCCCAGCTTGTTCGCGCTCTGCGAGTAATTGCACTAGACTGCGATATTTTTGCGAGTCGGTGGGTGGTTTATGTTTGATGTTTTGTGAAAGGATGGATGAGCGATTATCTTCTGTGAATTGTTATTAAATGTTTTGCTTTAGTAAATTACTACAATGCTACATCATTGCATTAAATAAATAATTTCCTTTCTATTATCGTATAATATGACGTAGCCTAAGGTAGCGATGCACAATTAAATTTAAAAAAATAAATAACGCACCCACACATAGCCCCGCACTAGGGAAACCATGTATTTCTTGTGTATACCATACCTAGTAACGGGTACAGTATACATACAGTATACCAAGTAACGGGACGAACAAGACGGCTATCCATTAAAGGAGTAAGCGAGATGCAAACCGCGAGCCTTTCTTATTGTATTTATTATTAAAAATTTCATAAAAAGAATACGTATTAATCTAAATCTGGCAGCGCAATATAATGAAAACCTGCGTAGGTTTATCCGTGCAATCCGTGCATCGCAAGAAGTTCATCTTCATCTTTTCGGAAAGGGTCCGTGGGTTCTTTGAAATTTTGAAAGGGGTTCATAACTAGAAAAAGGTTAAAAAACCCTGACTTATATGTTACCAAAATACTTTTCTTGCAGACCATGTGTGTGTAGTGCATGTTTGAAAAGAATGTTTTTATAATAAACATTTTCAACGCCTGAAGCTTACTAAAGCACCTTCACATTTGTTCTTAAAATATTTGCCTTGCCAATGTTTTGTTTAGTTTGGGAAAATAATGGAATAAATGTGTTCGAAATTTTCTTAAACGATATATTTTACACATAGTTATGACATAAAAATTAATGGCTGAACAGTTCCTAACACAGCAGTAAATATCTGTACTATTTTATATCATTTTGTAAACACCGAGCGGACGCTTCAATTCTATAATGAATAGCGCGTGTGATGACCCGTGCTGTGCTACGCGAGTACATCGCCAGTTTATGCGAATGTGTGCATCCGTACACGGCGCGTGGCGGGCATGCACACATACAAGCATCGCTGCTACGTTTTCGTACGCAGTTACCACACTTAGGGCGCGTTTTCCATTACGTCGTTACGTTTTATTTGTCGTTGGAACACAGTCGCGTCTAGCCTGTTTCCATATCACGACTATTACAAATGTATACAATTTATCGGTTCACGGCAGCCGCCTTGTCGGTTGCACCATACACTCTTTTGAAGTTGCGATTATCTGTCGTTACATTTTTATCGTGATATTTTTTATGGTCGGATGGCTGTCGTTCTAGCTCCGGCCATGGGAACGCGCCCTTATGCCATATGTGCGACAGCGAGCTGCAGCGCGGTAAATGTGGCCTGTTCTCGATGCCAGCGACCAGGGTCCCAAGTCTGCTAATTTTAAATCATCTCAGTCGTGTGTAGAGTTGTGGCTTGTGAGTAACTAGCCAACGAGCTACTATTCAACTTCCATTGCAAGTTATATATATATACATATATATATACATAAATATCTACACTAACATTTATATAAGTAAGAGATTTAGATTTTAATTTCAAATTTAATTTCCAACGACTAATTTTATATCCTACGATAATTATTTTTTATATCCAATGACTAACTTTATATCCAATGACTAATTTTATACCCAATGACTAATTCTAAACTTTAAATTAATTTTCAATATGTTTTCAATTAATATTCAATAGGACGTTGTGTATTTCATTTATAAAAGTTTAACTTTATTGGATATATTAAGTTTTAATTTTATGCTTTTGCAATGCCCTTTCAGGGCTAATGTTGAGAACTGACACTAGCTTGTAAGAACTTATGTGCTACAACATTGATGCAATAAAGATTATGATTATGATTATGATTATGATTATAATAATTTTCATAGTACCTTTAGTAAGACAAATTCGATCGTTAGTAATTGAATTAATTAATATGCCATCACTGTCATTCCACTGTGACTCAACTGCCACTGCAACTACTTATTAACAGAATAGTAAAATATTGTCATAATAGCTATGTCATCTCAATGGAGTCTCAGGGTCGTATTCTAGAACTCTACTCAATGCTCAGGTCAGGATTGCACTGGAAACCCAAGTACTGGAAATACGACCCTAATGGCAGGGACTTGAGTATGATTTCGAGTGCTTTAAACCATACTCAAATCCTGACTTGAGCATTGAGTAGAGTTCTAGAATATGGCCCTCAAAGTCTCAACGGAATTACATTGACTAGTACTTTCAAAAAAATTAACAAAATAGGACCCCAGCCCCCGTATTATGTCGCCTCGATAAAGCTATTATATCCAAATTTAGCTCTCAAATTCGAGTGATAAACCGGCAAATATAACATTTTATCACAATATCTAACATGGCGAACATCACGACGACACATTTTTATGTCATCGTGAGAGCCGCGACCAATGACTACAAAATATTAACACAGTGCGAAACATGGCTGCAAAGTTACAGTTGATTTTAAAACATTTTGAAATTTAGCACGACAAACGAGATGAAAAATATTTTTTGTTTCATCGTTTTCGCGGCGATGATTAAACGACGAAGATAGCTATAGTAATAATGCATTTTCATATCGTTGTCCTTGTTCTTCAAAATGTATAACAATAGTTCATTACGAAATAAACAAACTTAGCTTTATCACTGAAATAAAATTATTATCACGGGGAGATTTATCACACATATACTGCCATGCTGCGGCTGCAGATCGCTTAGTTTGCGGCAATAAAGTGGCGTAACGAGATTGTGAGCGCGATGTCGATATCGTGACGTGACCTTTTTATAGTACCTAATTCTTTCATTCAGTATGAGTTATTACTTATGGGCGCAAGAAGACGTGAATCCGTACTACAAACAAGAAAAACAAAAAAAGGCGAAATGACGAAGACCAAAGACAAAATCTAATTTATTAACGAATAGTGTCTCTATTCTTCTCATTATTGTGATTAATAATCCTTCTATTTTTATGGTCGTTATGTTTGCTGCTCCACATTGATTTCTAAATCTGCTGAAATTAAATCCCCCGGCGACATCTCTACATTTTTTATGGTCGAAAAATAGGCGACGACAGCCTGTCAAAACAATAGGAAAAGCTAGAACGATAATCGTCTGACGATAAATAAAATGTCTAATTGTCGTCACGTTTTTATTTATCGTTGTCTTATATCTGCAAACGACGAGGCAGCTGCTGGAAATAGCTAGGCATGACTGTCGTTCAACGATAAGAACAAGTCAACGACACAGTTACGACAGATAGTCGTGATGTGGGAACAGGTTGGACGCGACAGGCGTCCATCGATAATTAAAACGTTACGGCATAATGGGAACGCACCCTTATTGTTCTATGACAGTATTTGTTTATTTTTTAGGCACACCAACACCTACTTCAATATTTTATGTACATTTAAACAAACCTTGGTCTAATTGAGTAACTGAATCTTTTTGTTAGACAATAAGTTGAAATGTACAGGTAAGGT